AGTGGAAGGAGAAAAGGACATTAAACTGGTGGTGATTTTCAAACCTAGGGAATTAATAAGGGTTTTCAGTTGAGTAATAATTTTAGAAGTGTGGTCCTTAGATATTGTGAAGAAAGACAAAGCTGCCTGCATTTAACTTTGCAAAACAATATCACCTTGCTTATTGACAAATTATCCTTCCATGATGCGGAACAGCTGAAAATGTTCCTGGACTTAGTCCATCAAAACAAATTTCAAGAATCCATGAAACCCGATAATGATCAGGCTGTCTTTGAAAGCAGGAATACACAGAAAGGAATTGACAAAACTTTATTTTACAAAATGTGTTTCGAGCCAAGTTATAGATCCTTTCATACTGAAAAAGGAAGTCGAATGCTTTTCTCTCAGAAAATGCCCTTCTTAACGCCAAAATCATCAACACTTGTCAACGAATCATTCTTAGAAAATCGAGGTGAAAAGAGGCAAAAACCGCTATCATCTGGTCTAGAGATGAATGAGGACTTTCTGAAAAAAAATGACTTTACACTAAACAAGAAATTGAAGATGAATTCTTCCAAGTATGTAACAAGCAATAGAAAGGAACCATCCAGTTTGAAAGATTTAGAAAAAGACAGAAATTTGAAACTTGGATCTTCATTCAAGCCCAACTCTAATAGAAATCCCAATGTAGAGACGACTGTTCTTTCAACCCAGACTTTCTCTGCCAAAACAATTTGTGCACTTCCATCGGAAAAAGAGAGCAGCCAGGATGACCTGAGATGGAAGAACACCCAGGTGTCCTTTGACTGTCACCCTGAGAAACTATGGAAAGGTTTCCCCAATTTGGGAAACACCTGTTACATGAACGCAATTTTACAATCACTATTTGCGGTTCCATCATTTGCTGATGACTTACTCACGCAAGGTCTCCCATGGGAGAAAATTCCCTCTAATACTGTTATTATGTCCCTTAGCATGCTACTTGCTTTCAAAGATATTTGTAATAGCAAGACCCAAGCAGAGTTACTTGTAAATATTAAAAATGCCATTTCAGCAGTTGCAGAGGTATTCTCTGGCAACATGCAGAATGATGCTCATGAGTTTTTAGGTCAGTGTTTAGACCAGCTGAAAGAGGACATTAAAAAATTAAACTCTGGTTTGAAGACCGAGAGGGAACCTGAGGATGAAAATTCATCGCCACGGATGTATGCTGGTAATGCTGTCACCAAAGTGCTTATTTATCCTGTTGTTGCTAATTTTGAGTTTGAATTGCAGCTCTCCATTATCTGCAAAGTCTGTGGTCATGCTGTTCTCAAGACAGAACTGGACAATTATCTCTCCATCAACCTGCACCAAGAAGAAAAAACACTTCCTTCGTCTATTCAAAATTCTTCTGATCTTTTCTCTAAAGCAGAAGAACTTGAGTATAACTGTGAAATGTGTAAGCACAATAGTTCTGTTGCAATGCACAAATTTAGCAGGCCCCCCAGCGTCCTAATTGTTCACCTGAAACGCTATAGCTTTAACGATGCTTGGTTGCTGGCGAAGAATGACCAGCAAATTTATATTCCCAAATATTTAAGCTTATCTTCTCATTGCGATGAAAGCACCAAATCACCTCTTCCCTCGAGCAGTAACGTGCCTGTTGGGGGCTGCAAGGCCCTGAAAACCTCTCAGGAGTTAGTTCCTGAGATCATCAGCCCATCGACACTATTGGCAAAGTCAACCTCAGAACCAACTGATTCTCTAGTTCTACACGTTGCACCAGACAAGAATGCCGACCTACAAAGATTCCAGAGAAACTGTGAAGACGTAAATCAAGAACATCATCAGAGAGACCTGGAAAATGGCTCTAAGCCACAGTCAAAATTGGTAAACTCTGAAGATAAAATGGTCAGTGAAAAGGAGTTGCCAGTGGCTGACTCAGTGGTGGATCAGGGAGACAACTCTCTCCCCACGATCTGTGAAGACACAGGCAAGCCTGTCGGCAGCCCAGACACAGATCTTATAGAGACCTGTCTGCAAGAGGTGCCTGAAAATCCGGAACGTAAGAAATGTGAGGAAACCAACACATCTGTAGAGTTAGATTTTGACACTGTCACTGAGTCTGCCAGTGGCTTTTATGAGCATAAAGGAAACAGGATCCCAGAAAGATCTCAAGGAATGGCTGAAGAGCTCCGGCAGTGTACTGAGAAGAGAACCAGTGAGAAACGCCTTCAGCAGGCATCACCTCCACCTCCTGGGAGTCCTACTAGGAAGCCGAACACCCAGGAACATGCAGACGAGGCCCTCGGTGGATCTACAGCATTAAGACTTCAGAAGGCTAACGTGAATTCCCTTGGTGCGTTGGGTTCTGATAAGAGCCCTGGAAACAAATCCATCGTAGAGATGGAGAACACAGAAGCTGAAGCCAAGGAACCAAGAAGAAATGTGAAGATGAGAAGTCCTCTTCAGGTCTACAGGCTCATCAGTGTCGTCAGCCACATCGGGAACTCTGGAGATTCAGGCCATTACATCAGCGATGCCTATGACTTTCGGCAGCACTCCTGGTTCACATACGATGATCTATGGGTTTCAGAAATCCCAGAGACTCTGATTCAGGAAGCGAGGCTTCACTCGGGGTACATCTTCTTTTACATGCACAATGAGGTTTTTGAGGCATTTGAAAAAGGCAGACAATTCTCAACAACTTGGCACACAGGCAGGGGTGATTCCTCAGGGGGAATAAGAAGATAACTTTTTGCACAGAGCTGCTTGACAGGCTCACTCAGTCCCTGCTTAATCAATGGAAGGAAAATCCTGTACTCTAATCAGAATGAAGAAGGAACAGACGGGACTCAACGAGAAATACTTATTGTGGGGAAATAACTGCTTTAACTACTTCAGACTCCTAGATCCCAGAATTCAGGCTGATATGCATCCTTCCCACAAGATTAGAGTGGGGCTTTCCATGTTTTGGTGCAATGGGTTTCAACATGTTGTTCTTGAACCAGCAACATCAGCAGCTAGGGACTGATCAGACATGCAAATTCTGAGGTCCCACTCCAGAGCAAATGATTCAGAAACAGGAGGTGGGACCAGCAATCTGTGGGAGGTTCTGATGTTCCTGAAAGTTAAGGCACCACTGTGTTAGTGTCTAGAGTGTTTTGGTGTATTTTGCCACTGTATAAATTGCTTGTGTTATGTAAATGATTTAAATTACATATTTCTTTGTGTTCCTTTGTTTCATTCTGCCAAACCTGAGGCTAGAGTTTCCCCAAAAGTGGCAGCAGGGAAGTTTCCACAAGGCGGTGCTCCAAACTGCCCCAAGATGGGTACGGCTGGGATTACAAAGAAAGAAGCTAAACACCAGGGTGATCAGTCTGCCACAGCATTTATTAGGGGAACTTACGGAGTGCTGCAGTGTATCCTCAGGTGGACAGTAGGAGGAGAAGGGATGTTCCACCTAAGTATGTCCACAGCCAGAGAGTCAGGGCATGGAGTTTTGGGGAGGGTTTAAGGAATTTGGCTCATGCCAGGGTCAGTTTCTTTTAGTGTTTTGGGCAAAAACCTAGATATCTTTATCAGTGCCTGGGAATGTTCAAGGCCCAAGTTTGGGTTCAAGCTTCCTGGGAAAAATCTGCAACTGGTGGGTCATAGAGGGATCAAGAAACTCTGCAATTTTCAATCAGGACACAGAAAGAAAGTGTAGAGAACTGGGGGACCCTACATCCTTGAATTCACGAATGCCTTTCCTTTGTAAACATGTTAAAATAAAAACCAACCGATACATGTACCATTGTCTGGCTTCCACGTGTGTTTGTAACTGGCTACTGGTAAAATTTGCTACCTATCAATCAGCTGTATTTACACATCCTTCCAGGAATTGCAGAGAATGACGTCAAGGTCACAGAGAAAATACAGTATATTAAACGGTATGAGGGAGATTTTGTAAATTGAAAAGCACTGTAAAGCGTTGCTTATGCTATTAATATGAATAAGATATAAACCCACCCTCATAAATGTACAACACGGCCTGGTAGCCAAGGCTTAAACGGTCTATAAAGAACCCAGTATCAACAGGCCGTGTGAATAGATGAACGGAATCTGGGAGGATTTGTGGGTGCAAAGAGATAAGAAAAGCCTAGTGATGTGTAGAGTGTGGTGCAAAATTAGGCAGAGAGGTGTGGGAAAGAAGAGAAAACCAATCAGAAATATATGCACAAGATTTGTTAAAATATTCTTTTCAGCATTTAAGGGGAAAAGAAGTACTGTTCAAAAAAGAAATAAAGCTCGGCTCCGTCGCTCCTGCGGTGCGAGGCGCTTCCGCTCTTCTTCCTCCTGCCCCTCCCCTCCCCTGTCCTCCTCCTAATGACTAGTCTTAGCTCACCCACTTTTTGTCAGTGATACAACAGAAGATATATCATGTCCTCCTTCGTGTATCACATCAGGAGGAACCTCATGTTGATTTGTGCCATTACTGGTGAAGTGAACATCAGCCACTTGGTTAAGGGGGATTAATCAGTTTTTGCCACTGAAAAATTACTAATTTTCCTTTTGTAATTAATAAGTATGTGTGAGGAGATTCTTTGAAATGATGTATACAGCTCATTCTTCATCAAACTTCAAGGATTTAACATCTATTGCTGATTTTTGCCTGAACCAGTCATTACTGTGGTGACTGAAAAATGGTTAGTACTAAGTTCATTTTCATTGTCAAGGTCCGCTGACCACAGGATCCGGGCTACGTGAGGAGGGCTGTGTGGTGCCTCCTGTGTCTGTCTGTGCCTCCTGATGTCCTTCACTCTGTCCAGAAGGCTCCATTTGCAGTCTCAGGAGGATGGTAGATGACCAAGAAGATTACGAAAGAGATCTGGGGCCCAAGTTGATGATATCAAAATACACTGTGCCAACCATCTGTGATCTTCCTTAGCTTGTAGAAAATAAAAAATAAATATACTGAATTTGTTCGTGTCCATCACGTTCTGGCTTCAGAGAAATAAGAGGGTCGCTACTGAGGTTGGCGCCATTTTGAGTACCTTCTATACCTAAGGAGGAAATATAGGAGAAAAAATCTAAGGGGTCAGTTTCTATTGACAGACATGGAAGTTAACCCTTTCTTGCGTTTTTAATCCAATATGGAACCTACTGCCTCCTGGGGAAGCCAAGCCCCAGCCTGCCCCTAGAAGAAGGATTCCTTCCTCCTTTCACTCAATCACACCTTCAACAAAAGCTTATTGAGTATTTACTATGTCACCGGCACTAAGGAGACATCAGTGAACAAAATGTTAATGGAGTTGCTGGACTCCAGTTGGAAAAGTGGGTGCTGGAATTCCGTAGAGAGTCCACAGACCCTGAAAAGAGTCTTCAGGGATGGTGACCAGTGACTCTGTGGAGCCTGAAGGCACCTGGGTGGGAACACGACTCACTTCCCTGGAGCTGTCGACCCTACCATGAAGCAGCCCGGGAGGTTCCTCTCGTGAACCAAGTTGGGAACCACAGGGTGCTTACCTTGGACTCCCTGATATCTTGTCCCTGGTTTTGTTCTAAGGATTCGTCAGGTTCTCTTTTTTGTTTCTTGGTATAGTATCTAGATCTTCGATTCTGAAACCAAGTCTAAGTGGGCAAAACAGAGAGACAATTAAAGCAAATAATGTCATGCAGAAGTCACCATTGTTTGTTTTCTTACAGTGGAAGACAGAGGCAGCCATTTCCTTTTAGGCTTAATCCCAAGATCATTATTTTTTATTTTTATTTTATTTATTTAAGTATTTTTAAGGTCCTTATTCATCCTTTGGTATTTATTTATTTTTAGAGACAGGGTCTCGCTGTGCTGCCCAGGCTGCTCTCAAACTCCTGGGCTCAAACGATCCTTCCGCCTAGGCTTATGTTCAAATGTTAAGTAATATTCATTCATTCATCCTACAAATTCTTATTGAGTGTCATGTTCCAGGCACTGTTCAGGGCCCAAGGGACACAACATTGATCACAACAGGCAGAAAATAGCAAAAGGGAGCTGGGTACAGTGGAACTACCTGTAGTCCCAGGTACTTGCAAGGCTGAGGTGGGAGGTTGCTTGAGCCCAGAAGTTCAAAACCAGCTTGGGCAACATAGCCAGACCCGATGTCTTAAAAAATAGGGCATGTGAGATTGAGCCATGTGGCACCTGGGAGGAGAACCCACCAGGCAGAAAAACAGCTCATGAAAGGCCTTAAAATGTGTCTTGCACATTAAGGAACAGCCCAGGGCCAGTGTGGCTTCCCTGCCTATATATCTAGATCCTTCGGAGATGGAACAGTTTGGACTCTTTATCACTCACCTGGACTCTTGACTCTGGAACCCCAATTTCTTTAGCAAGTTGTTCTCTGCATTCAATCCCGGGGTAAGGGTCTTTTGTAAATGCCTGGATGAGAGTGTGTAATTGAGTGGCAGAGTAGCAGGTGCGAGACCGTCTGGCTTCTCCTCCTAGGAAAGATGTAAACAAAGTTGGTGGGGTTCAAGGAACATTCTGAGGGTCAGTTTTCACATCCAAACCTGGAACTCAAACAGATCCCTCATCTCCATCTAATTTGGAACCTGTTGACTCTCCCTGAGAGACTTTATCCCCAGCCCGTTCCAGGCAGAAGGTCCTAGAGGAGACATAGCACGACACTTCTGGGCTTCTGGATTCCAGCAGAAAGACAGCAGGGGAAATTCAGATGGCCCAAGAACTTCCAGGGCCCTGTTGAACCCTTTACCACCAAACTCCAAACAGGAAGTCCTCAAGGAGGAAACTTTATTTTCTTAATCACAGTGGCAGTCGGCTCCGTCACAGACAGACTGTGCTGGGGAGCAGAACCGAAGCAGGAGATTTACTTTGATTCTCCTTTCCAGGGTGACCTTGTCCATGGCTTTGGCTTGATTCTGAAACCTCCTCACATTCTGGCTTCTTCTGGAATCTGTGCCTAGCTCTTCGATTCTGAAACCATATCTTAAATGAGGAA